CGCGAGTGTTGGAAGCACACAGGACAGAATCGCAAGTCTGTAAACCGTTGCACGACGGAAATATTTTCCCACCGTGTTGCTCTCAGTGCGGGACCATACGGAGACGGTACCGCTGGAAGCGTCGGAATCCAGCAGTTCGGAGGAGGAGGAGGATGAGGATGCGGAGGGTTTGTCAAACCTCGGATAAGGGAGGGCACCGTGATAGATCGGCAGAACCCATTATAGTGTGTCTTTATAGAGCAGTGTTCTTTATCAGAGGCTCTTTGTCAGAGGTTGACAATAGTATGAGTGTATCTACTGGTGTATGTGTGCGCAGATGCTGACAGCTGATGTGGAGAAAGACTTCCTTCGAACACTGTCTCTGATTCACAGCAGAGATCCCAGAATCTACGACAACAAGACCCAGTTTTTCAGGAAAGACGGTAAGTACACTGTTTGGTGTAAATTTTTCATGGGAAGAAAATAATTTTTACCCTAAACACGAACATTTGTTTAGGTATAGCCAATCAAAATAAGAATTCTGTGAACTCAGAGTTGAATCTAGCTGTTGGTTTCCTGCTGATGTGTGTTGTACTTCGCTGAACTAGAGAATAAAGAGCAGAGGGAAAGAAAGGAGGAGAAGAAGGAGAATAAACCAATGTTTCTGAAGGACTATGAGAGGAAGCAGTTGTTGGAGAGAGGAGTTATGGCCGGAGTGAGTGACAGTGAGGAGGATGAGGAAGACATTGAGGTGAGTTCGGGGTCTCCTGCTGTTTCAATCACCGCCGTATAAACATCACTTGAAACTACATCAATCTTCATCAATTGTAAGGGGATGGGTGCCACTAGCCAAACAGGAGCGGTCCTGCATATTGACTATGTGAACTGAACACCTAGCGCTTTCACACAAAGAAAGAAAGAGGGGAGGGCTTGTAAGTTATATACCAGAGACAAAGCCCTAGGGAAAGACTCTTAGAGCACCATCTATTATTGTCAGTTGCTTACGTGGAGTATAATTATTGTCAACTGCAGAAGATGCCGGCAACATATCAGGAGGAACAGGAGCAAGTGAAGGCAGAGTTTCACCAGGCAGCAGCAGAGGAGGAGGAGGGAGAGAGTCTGTTGACACTTAGAAAGAAGGGCAAGGAAGAAATGTGAGTAAATGTAGGAGTATGGTTGGGTACAATACACTACATGAATGGCGTAAAATCTTCATGGGATGTAGAATAATTTTTGCGATTTACCTAAACAAATTTCATGCCATCCAGTCAATTTATGGTGTATGCAACATTGTTTGAAGTGAAAACCTTCAAAATGTGCCATAGTCCTCAAATCTGTCCTCAAAGTTTAATGATGTTTGTGTGAGTTAATAAGCGTATCATGTTGTATACATGTAGAGAGGAAGAGGAGAGAGGCTATGTCCAGTGGTTGAAGGGAGAGAGGGAGAGGATGGAGGGAGGGGAGGAGGAAGATTTCTCGGGTCTCCGGAGCCTCTGGTCGGCTCCTGACCTGGACTCTGGCGAGACATTCCTCAGAGACTACATCCTCAACAGACGGTTTGTCGACAGAGACACACTCACGTGAGTGGGGAAATAATAGACTCACCTGCTACAACTGCAGTCGTATGTGCTCGACATCCTTTAGTGTGCTCTTTCTTTATACTGTACCTGAGTTCCACTTGTGACAAATGTGGTTTTTCCTTAAACACCGTGTAAGCTATATATGATATCCACTATTATAGCAAAGGACTTTTTCTCTACATCTCTACTTATAATTATCTACTAGCAAACAAAGGACTCAACATTATGAGTCCGTACTTGAGCAATTCTTGATACTGTATGATGCCACTTGTGTTATCCCGTGGTGCTCACGTGTTTATGGTGCTCTCCATTTGGAATAGGCCTCGGGTGCCGTCTTACGACGAGATTGTGGGCGGAGACTCTGAGGAGGAGGGGGAAGAGAAGAAAGTGGGCGTGTCAGAGGACGAGGATGCACTGGACAGACAAGAAGAGTTTGAGAGGAAGTTCAATTTCAGATTTGAGGAGCCCGGAGGGGACCAGGTCAGGGACGTCGTAATGTTAGTTTAGGTATAACATATGGTGCTTCAGTACATCATGCTCGAAACTAATGTAATTTATGATCTCAAACACAGAATTTCGCACACACGCACACACTTTATTGTCTCAATAAAAGTCTTTCCTACAAACACTCGAACAATATCATTTTCCTTATTTAGAATCTCTGAGTAAACTCAGCGAGTACAAACGACACAGGTCAGCTCTTTCTCGGCGTCGTAAGGAGGGCAGGAGAAACTGCTGCATAGTGGCTCCACGAAACCAAACTCTACTCTGGGAGTACTAGTTCCAGGAGCTCCCTCCGGGTCTTTATCGATACATTCGTACATAATGCGGTATTGGTCCTGGTTTTCCGAGACGAGGTAGCCGTAGTATTCGCGGGTCCAGTTTGTAGGGCACTGGGTCTTTGCAGGGATCATGAGGACCACACTTCTTGGTACGTAGCACACCGCGCAGGGTACCCGGCGATAGTTCAGAGTGTTGTCGGAGCCAAGGTAGTAGTCAACTCGAGCCATTTGACTGTAGCCCTGTATTCCACTGATGTGTGAGAGATGGTCTGGGTTATCTGGCATGCACAGGCTGTTGACGGCCCCTCCTCTATTATCTCTTCGTGTTCCACCTGTCTTTCCAGCATAGAGCAGCTGAGCTTGGTGGCCAGATGGGCAGGTCGTCCTACCCCAGCGAGTGTAGACCGTCCCTCCCCCTATAATACCAGCGGTTCCTTTCTCCCCCCGGGGACCTTGAGGTCCCTGCAGACCACTGTCCCCACGCTTCCCCTTCTCCCCAGCTGCCCCCCGGGGACCAGAATTTCCAGTTGGTCCCCTGGGTCCTGCTAGTCCAGAGGGACCTTCTGGGCCTTGCTCCCCGGAAAAAATTGCATCTCCCTTCTCTCCCTTCTCACCATCTCTCCCGTCCCTTCCGTCCCTTCCTCGCAGAAACTCAAACTGGGGGCATTGTTCTTCAAGGGAGTTGCCTGGGGGAAAATTAGGCCTCCATGTAACGTGAAATTTTCATTGTCAGTTAAAATGTGTAGTAGTACAGTAATTTCGAGAGTGTCTTTTGGTTACCTGAATTTTGAGCAGAGGCTGCAGCAGTGACAGAAGCTAGACTAATAGCCAACAGTAGGAATTTCATCACCACAGACAACGTTTGGCCTCACTAGTTGTAGAGTGAACCTTGGCGAGCAATTGCTGATTGTGACTTACTGATTTTAGGAGAACGATCGTTTCGTTATTAAAGGGAATGTGGCAGTATATAAGGGCTAAATTTGGAAAATGTAACTAAAAATGGAAATCTTCACTGAGCCCTGTTGTTTAGTTCCATCTTTAGTAACATTTCGAAATTTTTTTACTCACACATTCCCTTTAACCCTCAACACGCATGGGCAGTGAGTATTTGCTCTTCCTGGAGATGTGTAAATTGTGAATCTAAGTAGTGAACTACCGGTATTGTGGCTTGATTCCTAAAGAGTACTATTTTTCTCTCTGCTTATAATGTGTATGTGTCATCAACAAGCTCAATGCAAAGCAAGGGCAAACAACTACACCTAGGACTACTCTTTTCCAAGGAAAAAGAGCTGCCCTGGGTGGGATTCAACCCACGACACTCTGCACTCTAGGCGAGTGCTCTACCAGCTGAGCAACTCGGCACATATTTCTGGTAATGTTATTAGATCACTTCGTATCCTCGGACGGTGCTGGGGTCTGTGCGGAGAGAGGACGAGAGGCGGAAGGAGAAGAGGAAGGAGAGAGAGGAGAGGAGGGAGAGGGAGAAAGAGCAGAAACAAGAGGAGCTGAAGAGACTCAAGAAACTGAAGAGAAAGGAAATCAGACAGAAATTGGACAGAATCAAGAGTGAGTCCAGCAAAAAATGAGTTTTACTGTGTGTCACATGACTGTGTGCCACTGTCACATGATCAGTCCATATTACATGTGTCTGCAGGGATAACTGGTAATCCTAATGTGGGGTTCAGCGAGGTTGACTTAGAGGGAGACTTCGACCCAGCCAGCTACGATCAGACGATGGGCAGGGCTTTTGACGACGAGTATTACGTCATGGAGGAGGAGGAGGGAGGGGTAGAGGAGGGGGAGGAAGAGGGGAAACCGGTGTTCTCAGATGATGAAGATGGTGGTAAGTCTTTCTCTCTCCCCTCTCTTGTCTCTCTCCCCTCTCTCTGTTGTCACAGATGCCACAAAACAGGAAGAAACGTCAGTTTAGGCTTGCTGGACGCTGTGTTCCCTCACTCTCCCCCTTCTCTTCCATCTCTCTTCTTCTCCCTGCTCTTTCCAACCAATGCCTCTATAATGCTGTATATATACACTGTCACCTCTCCTCCTGCTATTCTATAGAGATGTATGGAGATTGGGACCAGTGGGATCCACAGCAGGATCCTCACTGTGAAGACCTTGACTTCAACGTATGTATATAATATGCTGTTGGACTTTTCTTAAATTGAATGGGAGGGTACTTTGGGGAGGTAAGTGTTTCTTGTTCAAAGGTGAATTATTAGTATGGGGCAGAACTAAGTACCATTTGTACAGATGTGCCTTTTTACCGTAAATCATGCATCCTTCAATTAGCTGAGTGTCACAAGAAGAGGCTCCAGTTTTACTAAAAGCAGGGCTTCCTTGCATGCTCAGAGTCCTACATCTGTGCCACTTGATTCCAATTTTCTATCTTCCTCTACCAGATGGACGCGGACTTTGACCCAGAGACGGTGGCCCCGCCCACAAAGAAATCCAAACTCCGCAGACACAGACACAAACTTGCGCAGGCCGTCTCCTCCAAGAAGCCCCAGTTTGATCCCGAGGAGAAGACGTTTGAGGAGTACTTCGACGAGTACTACAGTCTGGACTATGAGGACGTAATAGGAGACATGCCGTGCAGGTTCAAGTACAATCAGGTCCCTTCTAACTCCTTTGGACTCACTGTCGAAGAGGTGGGCTCTATATAGGGTACCTGTTGGCAAACCTGCATACACTTAACTATTACATCAGTGGTGCCCTTTATATACGAGTTTGTATAGCGAAATAGAACACTGCTTCAAAATGTAAGGCAAGGCATGGCATGTCTGTTACAAGTTTTCACTTTGATTTGACATTTGACATGAAAAAGTTTTTGGTGAGTGTGAGTTAATTTTGCTGATACAGATGCTGGCGTGTGAGGACAAGGAGTTAAACCAGTGGGCATCTCTGAGGAAAGCAGTTCAGATCAGGTTTGTCCACCATGCATTAGAATATTTGTGGGATAAAATAAATTTTTTCTTTTATGTGTGACTGTGGCACACGTAAAATTACTACACTGTTGTCATCCTTGCTCTCTGTCTCTCTCAGAACGGAGGAGGAGGAGGAGAGGGACAAGAGACGGTACAAGAAACAGGCAAGGAATTTCAAGAAAAAGTACCAGATACTCGCCAGCCTCAAGGAGTGAGACGTGCAGCTTTATAAACCAGTCAAACACTGGTTCACATTTCATGCATTTGTGCAGGCCACATGAAGAGCAAGAACAAGGGAATGGGAGAAAGCCTCGTAAGAGAAAGGCTAGTAAATCAATAGACAGAGAAGTGGCTGAACAAGAGGGAGCGGACATCGATGAAGAGGAGGAGTGGGTCACAGAGAGAGAGGAGAAAGATGCAGAGGACTCTGGCAGTGTTGCCTCTGGTGATGTCAAGTCTAAACCTAAGAAAAAGAAGAGGAAAGCACTGGTGAGTGGCTCCACTACCGAGACAGACTCTACCGCTAAGACTGGCAAAAAACAGAAAAAGAAGAAGAAAAAGCCGAAGGTTCCCGGTTCAGCCGCTACAAAACTTTCCACAGCCAGACTAAAATCTTACGGGTTGTAAAAAAAATCGAGCGAGCTGTTTTCTAATTGTTGCACACCGTTATGAATTATTCATAAACACGTGGTACAAGCAATGGCGAAGCCTAAGCGTTTGGAAGGAGGCAAGGGAGGAGGGAAGGGGAAGGCTCGAGGCAGGTGAGAGAGTGTGTAATATAGTAAGATGTCCGTTCTTTGTAATCGCACTTTTGCCGCGTAGTAGGGGCCCAGCAAAGGGCGCGAAAGATGTAGGCCTGAGCTCAAACAGCCGTCCCAAGTTCAAGCGAAACTCTGGAAAATTCAAACCGAAGTCGAGAGGAAAACCTGTAGTCAAGGGGAAGGAGAAAGAGAAGAGAGCCCAGCCAAGTGTGGGGCCAGGCAGTGATGGGGAGGCAGTAATAACAACTGGAGCCAAGAGAAAGAGACAGGAACAGCAGGGAGAAGGCAAACAAGAGGGAGACAAGAGGTTCAAAGGTAATGCTGGTGTGCCTGCACCTTCAGGCTTGGGGACGAGGCTGACTGGTGTGTGCGTATTAGTGTGTGTGTGTCAAGTGCAGTGTTGGTGAAGAAGGTGAAAGAAAAGCAGCCCCTGACTCGCAAAGAACGCCGCGAATTGAAGAAAAGGAAGAGAAAAAATTACGACCTCATTTCTCAGACTCTTCAGCTGTGGGAGAAACTGAGGAGGTTGGAAAATCCCTTCTCTCATTTTATCTTCACTTATCTCTCACAGACATGATCTGAAGGCTGTGGAACGCTCTGATCTACTCGACCAAATGATGTCACTCATTACCGGCCACATCTATGAGGTAATCATTGCATCACTGACAAAGAGCCCCCACAGACTCCATTTTCCAGTTTGCTCTGAAGCACGATACGGCTCGTATTGTCCAGTGCTGTCTCAAGTTCGGCACTCCTCCACACCACACAACCATCTTCACTGAACTGAAAGGTTAACACACCACGGCACCTAGCACCTAGTAGCTGTCTTCTTGTGTGTTAAAATGCATGATTGTGAACGCTGAAAAACGTGTGAAACGGCTATATATCAACCAGGGAATATTACTGATTGTGTCTATATATTGTTCTGTTTCAGACCATGTGGTTCAGCTGTCAAAGTCGAAGTACGCCAAATTTGCAGTGAAAGCAATGATGAGACTGGGGTAGGATCAAACCAGCATTTTACCAACTCCCTCATCATTCTCCTCCCTCACCTCCAGCACACCGGAGCAGCGTCACCAGCTGATCTCCGGTCTCTATGGCAACGTTCATCGACTGGCCCGCCACAAAGAGGCGGCTGACGTGTTAGAAACGGCCTACAACGACTACGCCAACTCCAGCGAGAGGGCTAACCTCGTCCAGGCAAGGTTTTAACTAAACCCAAGAACCACGAATGCCTCTATAAAGTACAGTAAGACCTCTGCAAAAGATCCCTCCAAATAGAGCACACCCTCTACATAATGACAGTTGGTTATGCCCCAGATAACACGTGTATTAATAATTACCTCCAAATAAGGGACACCTCCTTATAAGGACACTTTCAATGTCCCTAATGTGTCGCTTGCTCGGAAGTGTCGCTGTATATGCTCAGCATATTGAGTGGCGTACACACAGTTTTGTGGGAGTGAATGTGTTGCAAGTTGTTGGTATAATATTACGATACCCACTTGTATTGTAATCATGCCAGGAGTTCTACGGGAGAAAGTTTGCACTGTTCAAGAGCAAGGAGGGAGAGGAGAAAGGTCTGGGGGAGATTCTGGGAGGAGGGGAGGTGGGGGAGAGGGAGACCGTGCTGGAGCACATGAGAGAGGCACTCGCCAAACTACTCGACAAGTGAGTGGAGTCTCCGAGACTAGCGGTACAAGAATCATGGTATGGGGATCGGGGATTTTAATAGGTGTGTGCAAGAGGGACCCTGAAACTGTTCACTAAGGCCCAATCACTGGAGTGTATACTTGCACACCTGTTTTGTAAGTTGCGTTCCCAGATTTTTGTAAGTTGCACTTTTCCCCTCCCCTGGAGTAAGTAAGGCCCCGTGAAATAGGGTATAGGAACATGGATGTTTGGGGGTATGGGGTCATGAAGGTATGGAAGTGTTGGAATGGGATCGGTGTGTGCTTGTTCTTCAGGTCAGTTGTGAGGCACAGTATCGTCCACAGAGCTCTACTTGACTTCCTCACCCACTGTGACCACACCTCCAGATCTGTGAGCTCTGTTTTCTTCTGTGTTGTTGTGTTGTTGTTGATGACATTTACATTGTTGTTGTTTACATTTCTGTTTACGTTTTCATTTGAACATTTGTTTCTTTCTTGCTGTGATCGTTGTTCTTTCCTTTGACGGTGTTTACATTGTTGTTGTTTTTGTTGTTGTTTACAGGATATGATAGACCAGCTCAAAGAGCTCCTGGTGGAAATGCTCCACACGAGAGATGGTTCCAGAGTCACTCTTCTCTGTCTCTGGCACGGGACACCCAAGGTGGGATAATCCATACCGTCCACGTGTAAGCAATTTTAGTTAGTAAATCAGTCGTCGTTTCAAATACTAGAATCTGGTTGGTCAAAATCTCTTTCACTTTGCCATGTTTCAATTGTCCACAAGTACACGATGCCTTGCAAGATGGCAATACTCTGTCCGTTTGTTTCACTTGTTTGCTCCTGACTCGGCAGGTGCGGAAGGCGATAGTCAAGTCGTTCAAGCCGTACGTGAGGAAGATATGTGTGGAGGAGAATGGCCACGTGGTGATGATGGGTGTGTTTGACACGGTCGACGACACAGTCCTCGTCAGGAAACACATTCTCTCCGTACGTACCACACTTCATCTACGACCTCACTTTTCTCATCTCTGTGGCCATTTCTTTAAGTTTAACTCTAGCCTTTGGTGTACCATACAGCATTAAGTACGCCACAGACAAATGCATGCACATCCCAGGTGATTAAATTTTCGGTTAGTTTCATTTATCTTGTTCCAGTGATGCATACATAAGAAGGGGAGGGGAAGGTTGGCTTTTGTCTAGAGCTCAGTTCATAGTGACTGTACAGGCCTGGGCTGTACTCCTGGCAGAAGTCAACTTTCTTCTTCTAGTGTACATGTGTACATTCACCAGCGTGAAATGGACGGTGGCAGCGTGACGGGGATCGTTGTTACCCCGCAGGAGATGGCGTTGGGTCTTGGAGAGCTGTGTGAGAGTCCAGTCGGTCGGAGGGTGGTCCTCTACCTCCTGAGTCCTCGTAACAGACGCCACTTCAGCTCCCAGTTCCTGCGGAACGTTCTGGAACCTGGCGACGGAAACAAACACACGTGAGACTTTAGCTCCACCACGCAGAAGACTGTGCGACTACCCAACTTTCAAAACCTTCCGAACCTGTTAACAGTGTAGTAAAGGGGCCCCACTTATACAAACATTATATGGCAACGATAGTTATTTTCAACCTTCATTGTGATGTAAATGTGTGTGTTTGTGTGTGGTCAGGAAGAAGCCACGAGAGGTGAGACACCGAGAGCTACTGGAGGGAGTGGCAGAACCTCTCCTGAGTCTGGCGAGAGAGAGAGCCTCGGACTGGGCTCGCAGCAAGCCTCACTCCCCACTGCTGCTCCAGATAGCCGCCTCCCTCCCCGGTGGGCACTATTTAGACCTCCCTCTAGTAGGTGGGCACTATTTAGACTTCCCTCTAGTGGGTGGGCATTACTTGGACTTCACTCTGGTTGGTGGGCACTATTTAGACTTCCCTCTAGTTGATGGGCCCGGTGGGCACTATTTAGAGCTCCTAGAGGGTGGGCACTAAATAGACCTTATTGCAGTGTGAAGCAATCCATTTCTGGTTTAGACCCCTCTCCATTGATATGATAGGGACTATGGTGAACACAAGAACTCCCTTGGTACTAAATTATATCGCCTCTGTGTGAGGGTGGGCACTAAATGAAGCAACCTCTCTTGCATGTCCAGGTGCAGTGGCTCATATTGGTGCTCCTCTTGTGGAGCTACTGGCTGCAGACTTTGACCCCAGCGACCATTTTGTGGTCCACCCCTGTGGACATTGGGTTGTTAAGAGATTACTGACCTCTGAGGAAATAGGAGGAGGAGGGGAGGGAGGAAATGGAGAAGAGGGGGGAGAAGGAGAGGAAGGAGGTGGGGAGGAGAGGGAAAATGAGGACGAGAAGAGAGGAGGAAGCGGGGAGAAGGAAACTGGAGGAGACGAAATCGAGAAGACGAGGTCTTTTGCAGAGATGATTCTTGAGGGAGTTTCGGAGGACAACATAAGAGCCTGGACCAATACCAACAGAGGGGCCTTCATCGTTTGCAGGTTATCATGTATGTACACATGGTGTGTTTTTTTGGTGACCATGATATTGGTGGCTATTCAAGAAAATGAATTTCGTTTGCGTTTTTGTGTAAATGTGTACATTCATGTACATCTGGAGGTGCAATTTGTAAGAACGCAGTTTTCACCCAAGAGAGAAACACTATCGGTAGATATATGCTTTTTTGTCAAGTTTACATTGGTCAAGTTTCTCTCTTTTTCGCTCCCGCTCTCCTCTCCTCTCCCACCCAGCCTCCTCTCCAGTAAGGTGAACGGAGTGAGAGAGAAGACGAAGACCATTCTAGAGCCGGCACTCAAGACCATCAGAACTGGGACATTGGAAGGACAGAAGGCTCTTTGGAAAGACATCAATAGCAACAACAACAAAACAAACCATTGAAAAAAATCTTGATATTGAAAGTGAGTCTAGAAGGTTGTGATCAATAGCAACACACAAGAGTCACAGTGAAAAGGCGTAAAGTTTATGGCATGATTTTTAGAAAATTGAAACTGAACGTGGGTCTAGACAGGGTGGGGTGATCTATTAATGAGGGGGCTTTCCCCTCGGCTCTCCTCGGAGTCCATCTCGCCGTAGCTGTGTCGTCTCTTGACTGGGGAGGCGCTGCGGGCCAGGATGGACGGACTGTCCCTTCCAGACATGGTCTCCGACCTCGATATCCTACCTCCTGTGCCTGGAAGAATAATAGAGAGAGGGAAAAGAGTAAGTGGCATGGCTCGGAGGGTGAGAGGATTGGGTGGACACAACACACTTCTACATAGGACTAATGTTTGGTGTGTCTCACTCAATGCTCAGTGGAGAGGTTCAACTGTATTACATGGGGAGTAATATCGGGAGAAGTGTTTTACTGTAAGGGTGAAAGGTTATGTGTACCACTTAGAGAAAGAAGAGTTTCGATGCATGTGAGCAGCTTACTCTCGGGCTCGGTGATTTGGTTCCTGAGTCTCGGAACGAGACACTGGTAGGGCTTCACGACGTAGGGGAGGAGAGAGACGAGGGTGAAATAGTCGTCGGTGGGTGGTAACCTATGGACCCCCTGGAGGACCAGGAGCATCTGGGGGATCTGGGGAGGCATCGCTTCCTCTGCCACACTCTTTAGCGCCACTGAGGGAGAAACAGGGAGTACGGTAAACCTCTGAATGGACATGTCGTGAGTCAAGGGGTTGTCCTCTATAATTAGTGTGGGAAATGTACTGCGTGTTGATAGTCATACATACACAGACCTTTGATCTGTGTCTTGAGCAGAACCACGTCTCTAAAGACGAGGAGAGTTAGAGCCCGAATTGACAGGTTCTCCAACTGAGCAATGAGAAAGCAGAGGACTTTGCTGTTCACTACTTTTTCATAAATATAAACAACCTGGATATTATAAAACAGGGTGCTATAAGCAATAGAGAGACCTGGACATTATAAAACGTGGGCAATAAACAGTATAGAGACCTGGACAGGGGCGAATATGGCCTGGAGGGTGGGCAGGATTGAGGTGTAGAACTGAGTCCAAACTGTTGCCAGCTTCTTTAGTAGCTCTAGACCTGTTGCAACATACAGTCAACTGACACAATATTGCTCATCTACATATGCCCAGGGTCTGACTTTCTGTTGGTTTTGTACTAGAGTGCATACCTTCTTTTTCTATCACTTCATGTCTGAGAACAATCATCCCTCGCTTCAATATCTGGTCCTGATGAGGTGAAGAAGGAAGAGTAAGACGAAATGTTGGTGTGTGTGTGCATGGGAGGGGAGAGCAAGCAGATAAAGACAAATAAATGGCAGGCAAACCTGGTAGAATTCTCCAATAAACTGACCAACCTCGGAACGAAACAATTTGCTGTGGAAACACAAAGTAATAATTGGGTAAATCTGTAGCTACCTCGGCCACAAGTCTTGCCCGAGCTTGTGGTTGAGTTGGTGCAGATCCTGTGCCAGAGTCGGATACCTCTTCTGCTGGAACAGCGTCAGCACAGCCTCCTGGATTCTGCACAGAGACGGAGTGGTCAACAGTTGCGTAGTATGTGTGGATTTGGGCTTTTTTTCGTGGGTCCTTCTGGCGTTATAGGCTGCTCACTTCTTCCAGTCGCTGCTCTTGAACTCCTGCCACTTTCTGGCGTCCTGTGGCGCCAACGTTTCCAGCGTCTTGTCGAAAGAAGACATCTTTTACAGTTTGCTGTTAAAACTTGACCACGCCCAAAAATAAAACAACTTCGTCCTTTTGCGCGCTCATCGCTACGAGCCCCACCCTTCTTTTTTCACTCTACACCACCACAACGATTGATCGGGAGAGATAGATGGCAGTAAGAAGGATCTGGGTACTTCTCCTCCCTCTGCTGGCGGGCAGCTGCACCGCTCGACCAGATGGACCGCCTCTCCAGGCCTGTTTCACCATGACGCCGCAGCACGGTAGCAACCTCGCTCAGACTTCGCCTAGTCCGGTCACCTTCAGCTGGAATAGGAGTCTTTCTGCCAATACAGTCATCCGTCCTGGCCAGTACATAGAAGGTACGTCCACCTACATAGCAAGAGCTCATAGAAAGTGCTGGCCAGCTAGCTAAAGAAGGCATTGGTGTTTTGAAAAGAGCGCAACTCGCCATATCGACATTGAAATTCTGTTGTGCAGTTTCCGTGGAGGCTGCAGCCGGTGAGAACTTCAAAGGGTTTATGATCCAGGCCAGAGCTGGAACGGGCGCTGAACTGCAACTCGTGGGAACTTTCCTCCAGCGAGACGGGTATCAGACACTCGGCTGCACCAAACAAGCAGTAAGGCAGGCTCGTGCGATTGGGCGTAATTTTGTGTCCCTCTTGCGCACTTTCCGCAGGACACTGCAGCTCACGTGAATAACAACACCAAACCTTTCATTAGGGCACTTTGGATGGCCCCAGAAGAACTACCGGACGAATTCTCGTTCTTGTGGGTAGCATCTGTGTTACTACGGCCCTGTTTGTGACCTCACAATCTTGTCAATCTACAGTTACACGGTGGTGGAGAGTTTTGGCAGGTTCTGGGTGATGCAGGAGTCGCCTGGGAAGCTGTTGGGACGTGTCCCGCCGCTTCCTGGAAACGAAATGCTCATCAAAATCCACGGTGAGTGGAGGGAGGACTTCCAGCAATAACACCACCGAAGTCTTGTTGGAAACATGCATTGAGACCAGCACATAATAATTGATGGAATATAATTATGCGAATTTACTCGACGAACTCCCACTTTTCGTACAAACTGCTCGCACGCTCCACAAAGTCACAGATGTGGGAGTCTTTTTGCTGTATGTGAAGGAATATTCTGTTGTGTATGCAGGTTCCCTGATGTCTATTGCCTGGGGAGTCCTCATCCCGATCGGCATAATCTTGGCTCTCTTTTACAAGGTTGTCTGGCCCAACGGCCACTGGTTCTATGTGAGTCAATATCGCGACTCCCAGTGGCCTCCATTGATTGACCACACATTCTGTTGGTCCCCAGATTCACATTTCAGTGATGGTGGTGGGTATACTGATGGTGATAGCAGGACTGTTTGTGATCCTAGCTCATGCAGAATGGAAGTGGCTCGATACCACCGTAAGAAATTATATACTGCAACTGTGTATTACTGTATGATTGGCAGGATCTGAACTACAGTCATCAGGTGCTAGGGATCATTGCACTGTCAGCAGTGGTAGTCAATGTAAGTGAATCGTAACATTATCACGCACTATTATGCTTCCTATTACACAACTGTATAGCCATTTCTTGGACTGTTTCTTCTCTTCGAATGCTGCTCTCTGGGAACAAAATGGTGAGCCTCAGATCAAGCAATATGTCCAGCTCTATGGCATTCGCTCACTCTTTCTCACGGAAACACGATTCAGTGGCAACCTGATATCCAAACTTTTTCACAGATTGCTTATATAGGTATTCCATGTCAAAAAGGTCCTCTACCCAACAATACTTTGACCACCCCCATTAGTTTTCTCTCTCATAAAATCTCCCACATACTATATTATATAATCATACTCTGTGTTGGATTCTTCTGCAGGAGGACATTGTACAACATTTGCCATGGAGGAATTGGTATTGTCTTTGCCGAGGGAGCGGCCCGTGAGTGAATACATACTCAGGAGGCATGCAGTCCAACCTGTTTATATTATACTGTGATACGTGTAGTGTGTGCCATGCTGGTTGGAGTCCACCTTCTGCGGGATCATCCCAGAGATTTCGACGAAGGGGCCGTCCACAGCTGCATCTACTCTGTGTCAGCAATTGCAGGAACAGTCATCATGATCATTGCCCTCTACAACGGCTACCACACTCGCTATCATAGAGGTCTGTGTGGCAAGAGTTATATTATACAGCATAATACTACGTCCTATCAAACTGTCATGTTCTAATTATCTTCTTGTGATAAATTGCTGCTTTCGACTATTGTAGAGCACCCCAAACCGGACCCATATGAGGAGGACCCGAAGCATTCTAAGGTAAAACACATGTGCACGACATGCATGACTCGATCAGTAAAGAAAAAAGGTTCACGGGGGGAACTTCACAGAATGCTTTGTCAACATAAAAATAGACTTTAGATTCATGAAGATTTCCCCTCCTTTATTTAGTGAATAAACCATTACTTTGCTCTGTCTAACTTACTAGTAAAGAATAATTATTATGAAAACGATTGTTATGGTGTCTGCGGCACAGGACTGGTGGGTGCGACTGGTGGTTGGATGTGGCCTCATTCTACTCCTGCTGGCACCTGTGGTCTCAACCATCTACTACCTCTTGAACATCTAGACACATATGCACCTTAGTCCACTTTGCTCTCCTTCTTTTACACAAAACTCTGCTTTTGCCTACTATAAGAAAAGCTTTTGCCTTCGTTTTATGTTATAGCATTAAATCTTTTCATGATAGATTTTTAGAGCAACATATTCTTATCATGCAAGTCAGTATTAATTGTTGTCATTGAATTGCGTACAAAACTGAGGAGAAGAAACGAAACAGAAGTAAACTACACATTAGTCTCAACATCCTAATCATTACAGCAGTATTAGCGACTGCAGCAGTCACTGAAGCAGAAACAGCAATAATAATAGCGAAATTGATTGTGAGAAGAGAAATTTTATTATTATTGTTTCGGTGTTTGACTAGTCTCCGGTACTACCGGTACTAAAGAGGCGAGAGGTGCGTGCAGTGGCTATGTTTTTCAGCGCTCTGTCACTGTGGTGAGAGAGAGAGAGAGAGAGGGAGGGGGAATGAAAAATTATAAGATAATCACAGTTAACCCAGGCCCCTCATGTGGGTTACATGACACCTTAGCCATAACAGTATTATTCTGCAACGTCGTCTGTAATAGATTTTCAGCAACACATTGTGTACGAATTTACAGTTTATGCCGTGATATGGAATTTGGTTGAGTGGTTCCAGATCCACAGTAGGAATATACAGAGACAACAGAAACAGTAGATAGAGAAAGGAGAGGAGCAGTGAATGGTATATACCGTGATCTCTTGTGTTTCTTCTTGGTGGGGACCATGGGTTCCAACTTGTTCTGGAAGTCTCTGAAGTTTCTGGCAAGTTCGTGTTGGTACTCGTGTTGCTCCTCTGTGATCAGGTGCTTGTTGAGGTCCAGGGCCTCTTGACACCTGGCAGGGGAGGAGACTTTTGTGAACTGATTCTTGTTGCCTCGCCCGTGCGCGCGCTCTACTGACTGCGCGCGAAGCCAGACTTCCTACGAATCTGCGCGCACGGCGGAAGCTAGACTTCCTGAGGCAACAGAGCACACTTTGTGCAAACAGTTGGAGGAGAGGGCATAAGGTGAATGTTTTAGACTGACAAAGGTTTGGTTTGCAAAATTATATCTTGCTAAGCTGCAGGAAAATGCTCACACCTCAAGTCCAGTCAGTCACTGGTTTAAAGATCCTGGTTGCCCATTTTAAGTGGTTAACCAGCACAACAATTCTGTGTGTAGTACGGCTCACCTTCGGGCGAACTCTTTGAAGCAGACTCGCAGTCTGTGGTGGTCGTGTGTCTGTTCTTTGAGAGGTACGTCGAGGAAACACTTGGCAATGGCGAAGGGGCCCTGGTTGACTGTCGTGGCGATTCCTCCCTGCAGCCGCATCTGGAGCAGTTTGGTGTCGGGCGGCCGCGCTATCAGACAGTTCCTGAGGGATATTATCTTTTCCTGCATCCCTATGATGGCTACTTGTAGCGGGTTCATTTCAACCTGTATGGAGAGATGGAGGGAGGGAGGGAGGGAGGGAGAGAGAGAGAGAGGGGAAGAGAAGGCTGGACTGAATTACAAATGTTTCGCCTGGTTTGTGCAAACATAGCTTTGCTATGGAGCTCATACGGCCTCAAAACTACAATCAAAAGGCCTCATGACAAAACCACTAAGTTTTCATTAAAAAAAATCTCGACCATATCACGTTAACGGATGGTCAAAACGAACCCGCTCAAAGTTGATGACTGTGCTCCTCTTCTTGACGTAAGGGAGCGTGTCTTTGGTGATGAGGATCGTCTTACTCATGCACTGGGTGTCTATCTCGCCGTGGGCCTTCCCTCCCTTCGTGTAGGGTGTGTTGAACACGAACCTTCCTGAGAGACAAGACAGCTCGTTGTGGGAAGTGAAATACAATGGGAACCTGTACACCAATGGTAGAGAATAGAGCGTAAGGTGTCCTTATTTCAGGGGTTGAATTGCATCCAAGAAAATGTTCTTGTGGAAAGACTGTTCTTTATACAGGTGTCAGAGATAACCATGTAAATGATCGTCAGCCCCAAAAACCAAGCGATAATGTGCACTTATACATAATTACGTACATATTAACCTGCAAAGATTGCTGAATTCATAATTTGGAGAGTGTATATATATACTGTACTCACGTATATTGAAGGAACGATCAAACACTGAGAGTCTCTCTTTCAGTTCCCATTCTTCAAAATACGGTTCCACAAACGTCACCTGAATATGACCCTGCACGCAACACATACATCATCAATTGCATCGAGTTACATACTGTAATAAGTGCTGTTACATACACCACACGCAACCCGCATACGTATGTGTGTAAAACCAGGTATAAAACAAGGAAGAGAGTACATTAAACGAAGGGGTCAGAGTCAGAGTGGGCCAACCCTCAATATACAACTCTTGCTGGTTTTCCTTCAAATATGTTCTAAATGGCCTTATAGAACAAACCGGCAAGAGTTGTATATTGAGGGTTGGCCCACTCTGGTGGCTCTGACCCCTTCATTAACAATCTATGCAAGTTAGAAGCCCTCGGGCCCTTTATGCAGTGGTCTCGGAAGGCTACAGGTTAACTTATGAAACCACAGGAGAATAAAAAAATTTGTCACACCTTGGCAGGATCCAGAGTGGATGGGTCTATAGTTTTAGAGTCTTTCAGCAGCTCGATCTTATCCTTGCCCAGCTTCTCGCTGTACAGGTTCTAAAATGACGATGTAATCGTCAATTTCACCCATACAGTCTCAATGAGCGTGATGATGTAATGATTGACCTGTAGTCTCAGTGAGAATTCTCCCAGCTGCGTGAGCGCTGCCTCTTTGTAAACGAACTCTGCTCTGTCGAGGTCACCAAATATTAGACCATAGAAACCTACTCTGAAGTATGTCCCCAGAAATCTGCACAGAATAAGAAACAGATCGTAACGATGGATAAGATTATCCCTCAACACACTGACGGATGAGATTAACTCTCTCCCCACAGACAGATGACAACCCTCTGACCAATGAGATTAACCCTTTCCCCACAGACTGATGCCAACCCTCTCCCCACTGACCAATGAGATTAACCCTTTCCCCACAGACTGATGACAACCCTCTCCCCACTGACCAATGAGATTAAACCCTTTCCCCACTGAAGAGATTAACCCTCTCCCCACTGACGGATTTGATTAACCCTGTCCCCACTGACCGATGAGATCCCTTGTGCAGCAGCTGCTGGTAGCAGTCCGAGAGACTACGATGGACCTTCTCCAGGCTCTGGTAGGCTCGCCGTTCCTCGTAGATCGGCATCACGAGGCGGTACACCTCGTTCATGGCCTCGTAGAGCTGGGCCTCTTTGAAAAGGGCAGCTGCCTGCTCCATGAGACCGATGAGACCTTGTTCAGAGAACATCTTCCCGGTACAGATCCCCTCCTCCTCCTGCAGTGACAGAGTTAGTATTACGTAGGACGCCACTTACTGACACACTTTCTCCAGGAAGCGTGTACATACCTCACACTCAACTTACAGTAACTCTGCCCTCCCCCAAAAACAAAGCACAGTATATTAAAAATCTATGGATTAAACACACTCTGAACAATGGACACCTCTCTATTAGAAGGAAACTATGGAATAGCTGTAGCTCCAGAGAAAAAACTTTGCACACGCAATAATGCAAGCTTTTCGTCAAAGTGGCATGCGACTATGTACAATATATATACAATATGCTTTCCTCCCCCACCCTCACTCCTCCACCCTCCCTCCTCATTCCTCACTCCTCACTCCCCCATCCTCCCCCACCCTCACTCCTCACTCCTCATTCCTCCTTCCTCTATTTACTAACAGGGGCGAGGGTGTCCTCAGAAGTTGCACTCTCCTCCAGCACGTTGGGAGAGATGTTCTGGAAGGCCACACAGCCGATGGGCAGGTAGGACTTGCCCTCCAGGAGGTAGAGATACTCTGATACCAGGGCCGCTGCGTGGACCAGACACATGGCCGCCTCCGTGTGGTTCTTCATCTGCACGGGAGAGAGAGAGAGGGACTTACACACAGTGTTGAGTGATTGCAACTTGTATGATTTCCAGCTTACTGCATTTCGCGCAGTTAATTCTCTGGAGCCATATTTGTTGCTACAAAAGACACTTGATTTTGCTTTCTACTAATACACATTATACTACCTCTGAGTAAGGGAGGCCTCTGAATAAAGGACACTTTCAACGTCCCCAATATTCCGGGGTTTCACCGAATGTAAATGTTAGTAGTTGGTATTGTACCTGTGAGTTCTTCTCAGCCATGGCCTGCAGCCAAGTCAGTCTGAGGTCTGGGGAGTTCTTGTAGCCTTTGGAGATCCTGTACATCAGGTCCATCAACATCTCCGGATCCTGACAACATTTTACAGTCTCATCATATTAACACCTATCGTGGAACTCTAAGAATTATTTCTACGCAAGTCGTCGAAAAAAGCCTACGAGTTAATGGGTGTTAAATGTGAAGGAGAAGGAGAAGAATAAGAAGAAGATGAACAGTTTGTCCTAGCATTGCCTCCAGTGTACATGTAGAAATGTTCACAGAACGTGAAGTGTCTTAGCCAACCAAGTATCCATTGCGGTATATTTATGTATATACAATACAAATATTCTGTAATGCTCAAAGAAGGCGGCGATGTTTTCTACAGGCGCTACTATGCAACTGATGATGCCATGGATCACAACACACCATGTGACGTGCAAAGCATCAACAATACACACGAGAGTGTATTCCTTACGTCTTGGAATTCTTGCATTTTGACTGTGTCCAGTAGAATGTGGTGAAGATTGATGGACAGCTCTCTGACCTACAAAGAGAGGAGAGAGAGGAGAGAGAGAGAGAGAGAGAGAGAGAAGAGGTTTATAGAAACCTGAGGGGCCTTACACCAAGTGCAAGAGACGGACTGACTAACATATTTAGTAGCATCGCCTTTTGTGTGGGTGAGTGCGTATATTACAGTAGGAGGCCATGGGGCTTTTAATGGTGTGTAGATTTCTATTAGGTAGAGAATGAGGGCGAAGCGAACAGGGAGAGAGGGAAATGAGAGAGAGAGAGAGAGAGAGAGAGCAGATGAGCTCACCTGTTCGGGAAAAGAGGAGTCCTCCATTCCCCTGTCGTTGTCTCCGTACAACATTATCGTCTTAAGTGAGCGACGGAGGTGGTGTTCGTTGAAGGTCTGAGGGTTCAAAGGTCAGAGGTTAAAGAGCACATGTGTGTGAGAGTGTACTCTGACGTACCGTACTGCCAGCCACGATAGTTGAGAGGGCAACAGTCGCCTGAACTTTGACCCTGGCAAAAGACTGAGAGAAAGAGAGAGGAACAGTCAGACAAAAGCAAGCATACATTCGTGGAGCTTGATAACATAGTTCAGCATTTGTTTACAGACGAGTAAACAAATAGAGAGATAAATTGTTAGTTGATAAACCAAACATGTAAACAAGTATGTGTACAAATGTAAAACAAGTAGAGGTATAATTATATGTATTTAGAGCTGGGTAATTTTAAATCGCGCAATCTGATTGGTCCATGCACGGACTCTAATTCGCGTAGAGCAAATTTTCCGGACTCTAAACTTGGCTCACGTTCTCCTGTTCAAAGTCATGTCTCATGAGGAGGTAGAGAGAGGCGCAGGCCCACGTCCTGATCTCCTTCACCCCTGAACTGCAGTGACGCAGCAGCCGTCGACACAGCTCCGCGCACTGCTCCGTCTCCTCGTAGAACAGGAGGTCGGGGAACTTCCAGACGATGGCTCTCTGGGTGCTGAAGACGTCCTTCATGACCTGGACACTCTGGTTGGTGGCCATCAGATGCAGCAACACCTCTAGAGCCTGCATAAATACACGTATTACTTCTAGGAGCCTGCACAAGTGGGTGTAATACACGTATTACTTCTAGGAGCCTGCACAAGTGGGTGTAATACACGTATTACTTCTAGGAGCCTGCACAAGTGGGTGTAATACACGTATTACTTCTAGGAGCCTGCATAAGTGGGTGTAATACACGTATTACTTCTAGGAGCCTGCATAAGTGGGTGTAATACACGTATTACTTCTAGGAGCCTGCACAAGTGGGTGTAATACACGTATTACTTCTAGGAGCCTGCACAAGTGGGTGTAATACACGTATTACTTCTAGGAGCCTGCACAAGTGGGTGTAATACACGTATTACTTCTAGGAGCCTGCACGAGTGGGTGTAATACACGTATTACTTCTAGGAGCCTGCATAAGTGGGTGTAATACACGTATTACTTCTAGGAGCCTGCATAAGTGGGTGTAATACACGTATTACTTCTAGGAGCCTGCATAAGTGGGTGTAATACACGTATTACTTCTAGGAGCCTGCATAAGTGGGTGTAATACACGTATTACTTCTAGGAGCCTGCATAAGTGGGTGTAATACACGTATTACTTCTAGGAGCCTGCATAGGGGGAAGAGTCAGATGTATATATGTATATATATATACTGACATTCAAGACATGCACATGCATGCACATAATACTGGTAATAAATTACAATTTCAAAGTATGGTTCTCATATATGGCTATGTAATAGAATCTCGGGGGATTCAGATGTGCACATACATGTATGTACACTTTGGAGACGGTGAAATCAATAGAAGCTGGGAACTATCAAGGAATGCAAAAAAGTGAAGGTTATGGATGCATGCACTCTTCCTTCTGTAGTAAACTATAAAGTTTATAGTAACTATAGGTTTTCTTCCAGTGAATGTGGTACTAAATGAAACTGACCCTGCCGAGTGTACTGTGGAGGTTCTCTCTGGCAGATATGGTCTGCATGAGCAGCTCCATGGTGTCCAATACGATGAGACTAGACTCTGCGGCCAGACTGCCCTCGATGTAGGCGTCCACCTCGATGTCAACCACTGGTCTCTCGGCCTGCTCCGACGTGGCCTGCCAGTAGGTCTTGCCCCATCGCAGGGCCTCAGCTGGAGGAGAGTAAACCAAGACGGCACAACATTTAGACACAAACACAAAAAGCAAGCATATTACGTCTACTGTATGTATACATACTTTCACACTACCAAATACACAATGTACACTACGAATTAATTCTCTCAAATATAAACCTATACACCTATGAACGTGTGGTGGCTATAGCTAAAGGTTTATGCAAAACATCGCCAAAACTGTCGTACAATACGACCCATCTTTGAGACCGTGTCAAACACGCAAGACGAGAAAGACGGATAAACAGATTGTGAGGTTTGGCTCACACTGCTGCATTCCTCCCCTCTCTTTCTTCCGGCGAGCCAACATGTCTCGCGCCGTCCCCTCTCCCCCGAGGATGGCGTTGGCCAGCTGGTTCCTCATGCGGTTGCCGGGCGTGGCGGCCTGCACGGGACCGCCCGTGCTAGTCTGGTGCTGGAGATTCCGCTTGCCCTGTAAGGAGGCTTCAGATGACCCCGGGCCGGAACGAGAGCCCGGCTGCAGGACACGAGATATACAGCAGGACAGACGGACACACAGTTACGGGACAGGACGAGACATGGGACAATGTCCTGCTATCTACATGCACAGCACACATACAACACACACCACACTATTCACAATTGTCACTATATTAGAGAGATTTTGGCGTGACGTGGAATGTGACATTATCGTGACATTTGCAAAGTGGCTCGGAATATTTCGATGTTGTGGAAAGTATTGCAAATAGACAAATGCGGATTTTTTTAAAAATTACTGCGACCTCACATTGCATGATGTCATGGAATCCTTGTAAACTAGGCTTTACATGCAAAACGGCCAGTGCACTGTTGTATAAGCAGAAAGGCAAAATTTAATGGGCATGTATGATATAGTAAGTGCATAAAAGTAACACTTTAAAGGAAAACCATAATTACATACATAATGTGATGATCACAGTGTCTACTTGATCACAGCACAAAACATCACAACATTATTATACAGCAAAAATGGACTCACTCGATATTCAAAACAAGCCACGGACAGATCCAAAACATTCACAAGTATATTGAATCTGAAACAAACAAAATATTATATTAAGGTAAGCAGGCAACGCATATAAATTTGTGTGGATACCAATGACATCATTGATTAGCCAAAATCTACTCAAATAAAAGCTCTACATAATAACTAACTAAATAGCAAAGACCACTAATTCGGTTTTAGCATGCCATGAAATTATAGTTCATAGCATACCAGCCATAGATAGGTACATAGATAGATAGATAGAGAAATTAAAAACCACCATCAATGCCAGCCAGCTGACTGTGTTAATTGAAGTTTTTCAAAAAGTTTCCAGAAGACTTAGCAGTCGTATAATGTGTATATACCTGGAGATGGACAGTTGTGACCACCAGCTCTTGAGGAGCTCCATGTCAATGTTCTTGAGGACCCAGAGGAAGCAGATGAGAAGGTTTCTGGTGCTCACTGGACCCAGGAGATGATCGTTGGTCTTCGCCGTCTCTGGAGGCTCCTGTGGGAGGACGGCAGATATGGGGAGGGAGCAGGAGATGTCATTACGTCTAAAGACCCACAATAGAAATGGTTAATAGATGTCATACATTACGCCTAAAGATCCGCAAATAGAAATGGTTAAAGCAGAGAGCATGCTGATATATACAGAGTAAGTCCAGCGATGCAGCGTGTCAGTACTCACACTTAGATATACTGTGCTACAGTGTCTGTGCTCGCTGCTCTACTGTCAGCTACCACCCACCCCTTCTCCCTCTCTCTCCCTCTCTCCCCCTCTCTCCTGCTGCTAACCTGGCCCTCGATCTCCCAGCTCCCGTCGGCCCCCTCCTTCACCACCACCGATCTCCTGACACTAGCGTTCCTCTCAAACGTGGTACTCCAATCTTCCCAACCGTCGGCTCCCTTGTAGAGACACTGGAAGTTGTCCATCACGATGCTGAGGAGAGGGAGGTAGAGAGACGCGATCCTCGCCCGGGCAGAGGGCTTGTTGTAGCGAGAATCGCTGTCATGAGAGGCAAGGAGGTCCCGTACCACCTCAACGGCCTGTTCTCGCAGTTTTGAATTTCTGAGGAGAAAATGAGAGAGAGAGAGAGAGAGAGTAGTACTGAATCTGAGAATTTGAATGCCAAATGGGATCTTCTCCACCAGCTAAAGTTTTTACAGGGGAAATTTAAATGGATGGCTCTGTAGCTAAAACACCACACATTCACAAAGACAATCAAGTTCTAAAAGGTGCACACTAAATAGAGCGGCATACTTTCCGTCGAGGACGAGAGCCAGCTCAGTCAGTACTAGTCCAGTGAGGTAGTGGTAAGTCCTGAACTCACTGGACAACTCACCCATCGCCTCCACATTGGGGGCATCCAGGTTCTCCAGAGTGGAGCTGATGGAACCTGTGGCAGGTCATGTGACAGTCATGTGAGCATCACATGATCCCTACCCTATGAAAAATCTAAAAGTCTACCCAAATCCAAATGTTTCAGTGTCAGCCTATATATACCTCTGGTTCAAAAACACATTAAGCAATTTATACAAAAAAGTGTTGTAGTGCAATTATAGGACTAATGTATACAAAATAAAATTTCAAGAGGAATACTGTTACATTGCTTGTGGAATTGTATATATACACATGATCCCATTCACAAAAACCAGTCATGTGGGTGTCATGTGAGTGTCATGTGACTCACTGGAGGGGGAGGAGTGTTGGCTGCCGGGTCCCGCGGGGTAGAGCGCGGCTCCGAGAGGGAGGTTAAGGGTCACCAGGTGCTCGTGAGAACAGACGATCCTCAGGAAATCCAGTCGGAACTCAGTCAGATTCAGATCCTTGATCGACAGCTGGAACTGGTTTTGAGAGACGCCAATGACAATTTTCCCCCCTCTACCCACTAATATTTTCAGGTATAAGTCTCATCTGCAGCAAATTAACTGCACATGATCCCTACTGTATGAGGATTAGGTGTGGCATAGGTGATAAAGTAGCTAGAAAATGTCATCCGTAATCTTTTCCACCTGATTAAAAAAACACCCGCCTAGTATCTGCAAAAAGCTGGCTCTACCAATGCATACGGACACAGGGCCTCACAGACACAGGGCCTTGGTCTGCCCCTTGGAACAACTTCTACATAATAATGTTACGGTAAACACACAGATGAACATACGTATACATGTACCTTCTTCAGGTAGGTCTTGATGAGGGAGAAGACGAACCCACGGTCCATGAGCGACAGAGCGTCGTGGATGAAGAAAGCCAGGCTGATGTTGAGTCGCCGAGCGTAGTTCACGTCCTTGATGTGTTTCTCTGTGATCTCGTTGGACACCATGCTCACCAGACCCTCCAGGTCCTTCATGAACTTGACGGAGAACCGGTTTTTCCTCTGAGCGTTGAGCATCGACTTGCGGGACAAGAACTGACTCATGCTTTTTATCTGAGGCAGAGAGAGAGAGAGATGGAGGCAAGAGAGAGAGAGAGGCAAGAGAGAGAGATGGAGGCAAGAGAGAGAGGCGGGGAGAGCATGTAAAAGTCAATAGCTGAACCTTGACACCCTGAATAAAGGACCACTCTTCATAAAGGACACTGATATTATTGGGTGAAAAGTGAGTCTAGCTGTTTTTTTTCTTTAATTACGAAAAAAGGCTCAAAAGTCATGCTCTCCACACGCGCTCAGCCAAAAACAACCTGCATGCATTCAAGCAGCATATGTATGTACATACTGCATACATACTGTACATGTCCAACGTCCTAGCATATTATATGAGCTATACAGAAGGTTGCTAAAGTATGTATACACACGACTGACCAGGAGTTCAAAGAAGAACCAGGCGTTGCTGAGGACGAGGACCCGAAGATTTGGGTGAGACACGATCCACTGGAGGACCAGCTCCTCGTGGAAGATCTTCTGTAACGAGGAGGCGGGGTTTCGCCGGCCGTCGACTTCCTCGGCCACCCCGTCCGGTGAGCTGAACCCGACCCTCTTCCTGTGTCATCATAGAGCCAGACAATGAACATGTACACCTTATCAGAGACTGTTTCTTAGTATCTATTTGCTTCCTAGTATTTGTCTCAGTTGGGAGTACACAGTAGCTGAAGAATGATTTAGAGAGAACACTGTTTTCTGCCTATTATTGCTGTGTGGTTATCGAGCACTTCAATCAGCCTGGTTAAGAGTTAAGAAAGTGTATTGTGTGGTTATCGAGCACTTCAATCAGCCTGGTTAAGAGTTAAGAAAGTGTATTGTGTGGTTATCGAGCACTTCATCAGCCTGGTTAAGAGTTACAGAGAAAGTGTATTGTGTGTTATCGAGCACTTCAATCAGCCTGGTAAGTTAAGAGAAGTGTATGTGTGGTTATCGAGCACTTCAATCAGCCTGGTTAAGAGTTAAGAAAGTGTATTGTGTGGTTATCGAGCACTTCAATCAGCCTGGTTAAGAGTTAAGAAAGTGTATTGTGTGGTTATCGAGCACTTCAATCAGCCTGGTTAAGAGTTAAGAAAGTGTATTGTGTGGTTATCGAGCACTTCAATCAGCTGGTTTAAGAGTTAAGAAAGTGTATTGTGTGGTTATCGAGCACTTCAATCAGCCTGGTTAAGAGTTAGGAAAGTGTATTGTGTGGTTATCGAGCACTTCAATCAGCCTGGTTAAGAGTTAAGAAAGTGTATTGTGTGGTTATCGAGCACTTCAATCCCTGGTAAGAGTTAAGAAAGTGTATTGTGTGGTTATCGAGCACTTCAATCGCCTGGTTAGAGTTTAAGAAGTGTATTGTGTGGTTATCGAGCATTCAATCAGCCTGGTTAAGAGTTAAGAAAGTGTATTGTGTGGTTATCGAGCACTTCAATCAGCCTGGTTAAGAGTTAAGAAAGTGATGTATGTATATACGGTAGTGTATAGTAACTGACTGACTTGGTGGTTTCTCATTGAGCCTCCTTTCTCCACTGACTGGTTGTAGGAGTCGTCCTCCAGACTACTGCTGCTCCCTCTCGTCTTACCTAATAACAACACACCACATTGTACACCATAGTATATAGCAGTGGAATTTCACGCAATACCCTTTTTAATTTCACAAGACTGCCGTTACGTTTGCAATGCTCGTGTACTCAGGAGGCAAAATTTCACAGAAAGGTGATGCAAATTTTCGGACTTCCTTATGAAAATTTGCACCAAAAGACATCACCTGGCTAAAACTGAACCTACAGTATGTAGAGTATAGTTGGAGAGTTTAGGTGAGGTTTAAAGAGCACTGTAACCGCACCTTGAATGGTGGCGGTTCTGTTGAAGGCAGAGGCAGGGTGCTGGCCGAGGGGTGTGGTAAAGACAAACTGTATGTACGAGGTGAGGATGATGTTCCGGTCGTGCTTGTCGCAGAAGAGGCCCAGGCAGTGGACCATGTTCACCATCCTGATTATGGCCTCAAACGCCTTCGGAGGAACCTCAGCTGCAGGGAGAAAGAATACGTACGGGGTAGTTTGGATAAACAGATGAGACAGCAGCTTTTGATTCGTAGACAAACTCTCCAAAGCCATTAAAAATTTACATACATGCGCACAAAAATTTGGCAAAATGTTGTCAAAATGGAGGGGAGGGAGTTAATATAGACAGAGCTACAGTATGAAACAGCAAAAAAAATTTGTGGGTCATTGAATAGTCATCATATTTGGTACACTAGGAATTGAGAGTGAGAGAGGTAGGATAGAGGGGGGAGGGAGGGAGGGAGGAGAGGAGAGAGCTTACCAGACTCTCCGGTCACACAGGGACGGACGAGGAGAGAGCAGAGATTGTTGAGGAGAATGTGAAGAAACTGCACAGTCCTCTCTGGATCGGCCTCCTGCAATAATATTATAGTTCAGAGTCACATAATAATTATGTAGAACAAGACATGGTGCAAACCAAACATTGAACAATGTATGTATTTGCAAGGCAAACGCCCCGACTCAGTGTATGAGGAACTACACATTTAGCAGTGTTTAAAAGTAAAACATTCCGAAAAGGTATATTTGTGTACAGTGTAAATTGGAACTCCTCTAATCTGGACACCAATGCGACAGAAATAAGTATGTAGTAAGGTGTCCTTGTTTCAGGGGTTAAAGAATGATGGACAAGAACGAAAGAAAAGGTGTCAATAATAGAGAGATGTCCTTTATTTCAGGTGTGTCCTTATTAAAGAAAGGTTGGACTGTATATAGTTGTGAATCTGTATATACCTGCAGTTGAGTCATGCTGTAGCCCAGCTGTTTCTCCTGCAACTCAGTACCCAGCATGTTGTGCAGTTCGTAGAACCGGTTGGTGAACTCCTCGATATGTGGGTCCTGTGGTTGGTGGGCGGGGAGTCACATGACACTCACATGACGATACACATGTAGCATTCATTCGTACGTGAAAACTGACCACTAACAGGAAATTTGTATATACTTTATTTAACGAAAAACGCTGAACTACGACATAAATTTCCTTTTTTTTTATTTGTATGCTTACGTATGTATGTGGGTGGTGTTACTGTATCCAGTATATACCTAAACAAAGAAGTGAAGTGTATCGTACGTATATGTACATACAGTATTATACCTGAGGGTGTATGGAGGAGACCATGGACACAGCGGCTTTGAAGATGGGTTTGTGTCCGTCGATCCACTTGAGGCTGGGCAGGGCCGTATCCGTGGAGATCTGGGAGTACGCGTGGGGAGGATGGTCAGCCGTCACACACAGGTGGAAGTTCCCCAACTGTATCTTTCCCATTTGGAGCATCGGGATCCACTGGGTTGGGAAGAGATGGGGGAGAGATGGAAGGAAAAAAGGCCGGTAGTCCAATGATAATCTAATACACAGGCTAAATATGGGAGACGAACACTTGTCTTCTCCAACTTACGGCTAAATTATAAAACACGAGTTTATAAAGGCTACCAGGAGTGCAGCTTGTGCTTCTGTATAAAAGTGGCGGATTGCACACATCTAGAACCAACAATCACCATGATGTATGTACACTACGGTGGTGGTGGTGGTAGGTTGACTAACGGTGCATCCAAGAAAGGCCGGCTCCTGAATGAGTGGCTCTCCTGGTCTCGGCTTCTGACAGGAGACCTGGTAGAAGGTGAACAGCAGGTGGTGTTTCTCAGTGATCTTGGCCGGGAGCTCCACCTTCACCTCCTCATAGAACTCCGGTTGTCTGTTGAGGGAGAGAATTTTTGACGTGAGACGAGAGAAAAAAAGGAAAAAAAGAGGGGTAGGGTAAAATTTAGCAACCATCTGCAAAGGTTTATCCATAAAAAAAATGTGTAGGAAGGACAATGAACCCACAACACCCCAGTTTTCCACAAATTTTTGATCCAAAACTCTCACAAGGATCCGCCAGAGAGCCAAGAGGGGCAGGGATACAAGTGGAGATACAGCAAAGAAAGGAGGCCGAGGAAAAGAGGAGAGGGAGAGAAACTAACTTGTTGTGGTAGAGAACGGGGCACCAGGCCTCTCTCAGGTAGGTTGCCGAGCAAGACTTGCCGTAGATACACGGCAGGGCGTCTTCCCTGTCCTCTCCCGCCATGAACTGGACTTTGACCCCGACATTTCGACCTTTCCCACTGCGAAAGTCCAGGGCTTGTGGATAGATGTAGAGCATGTTCCTGGATGATTGATCATAGCGAGAGAGGGGAAAATCACACAACATCCGCGAACACCATGCGTAGTCATCTTAACCGTGCAATATTTTTATGTTCAAGCAAGGCTCATCTCAAAATGCACAGAAAACCCACAATTTGAATCAAGCTCGAAGGAAAGTGATCTTAAATTCAGTCATTTCAGTGGTGCAAAGCTTGTAAAGGTGTTAGTCTATATATGTATATAGGTTGTATATGCCACCATATAGACCCTCACTTGTAGGTGGAGTAAGGATTGTAGACCTCTCTGGGAGGAAATTCCTCCACCTCTCTCGTTGGCCTTCTCGTCCGGTTGTCAGGAAACGGCTCTATCTCCCACAGATTAGACGTCATACAACACGCCATGTTCTCGTACGGAGCCGAGATATCCACCTACAATTACGTCATAATGACATAATGGTGATGACATCAGAATACTGAGAGACATGTCATTGCTGTATGTTAGTCTCAAGGACACTGAAGCCTTTGTATAAACAGCTCTAAGAAATGATGTCATACGCGCAATTGGCGTAAGTGAAATGACATAATAATGATGTCATTATCGATGACGTCATACTGACTTTGAGGTTCCCGGGGATGCTCCTGAACTTGCGGTTGAGGATGCTGTTAGTTTTCTTCATCTCGGCCAGGTTCTTGAAGAGGTCTTCGTCCGAGAGTTTGTCGCTCTCCTGCTTGAAGAAGACGTTGACGGTCAGGGTGACGGGTCTGAAGTTCTGAGATATGTTGGCCATGCTGGATTCACTGGTAGTCTGGGACTCTTCGCTGATTGATCTGCTGGTGCAGAGTAACACGGACCTGACACCTGTACATCACCTCCATTACCTCTATCTCTACGTTTCTCCTCCTCTCAAAAAGAACGATGTAATCGTTTACCATCCTGCATGGCCTATCTTTATTCTCTTTACCCCCTCCCCCAGATCCTCCTTCCTTTCCTTTTTTTCTCTTCTTCCCCTCTCTCTTTACACCCATGCCTCTATCTCTTATCCCCTCTTTTTCTTAGCACTCGCGCCTCTATTTTATCTACATCTCCTCTCTTTTTACACTCACGCCTCTCTATCTCTTTCTCCCCTCTCCCCCTCCGTCCCTATATAGTACCTGTTGACAGAGGACATGGAGCCACTCCGTGTGTCCCTCCGTCTGTTGGGCTCTGGAGTGCCGCCTCGTTTGTCGGGGTTCATCTCGCTCCGTCTCCTCTCCAGAGTGGACTCCCGCGATTCCTGCCCCGTCCCTGACCCGCCCGGACCTCCCTGGTTCCCTGCAGCAACAAATAGAGAGAAAATGCAGCAGAAAATACACTTAACCAGTCGTGGACACAAAGCCTCAAAGCACATAATGTATACTAAGGTGGCAACGGCTTAGAAACTGGATACACTAACACATATGTAGTCCTAAAATACTCTGTACATTACCAGCAATGATGTCCAAGACATTAATGGCGGTCCAGGCAAAGGGCATGCGGTACTGGCCCAGCTGCTGACAGAAGTAGTTGGCACTCAGTTTGTGTTTTTCGAGCGTCTTCTTGTCGAGGTCTCTGGCCTTCAGGTACGGCTCCACCGCCTCAGTGATGTCTCCCTGCTGCAGGACCTTCTCTATCTGAGGAGACAGATAGATGGGGGGGCAGGGTGTTAGTGGGTGTAATTGTGCATACCAGTGTGTGTGTGTGTGTGTGTGTTTGTGTCTGCAGCTGCAGTTAAAACGAGGTGCCGACTAGCAAGACGCTGCTCCTACATTTTATACAGTAATGAAAAATGTACAAAAATAGTCCATTGTGAGTGCATGAGCCAAGTCTGTGAGCAAGGTGTGGGGGCCTTATTGTTCCCCTGCTTCGTCTTAAAGGACTGATGTTGTATACTGTATCACTAGATGTGTATGGGGCTATGATAGGGACTGATGTATACTGTATCACTAGATGTGTATGGGGCTATGATAGGGACTGATGTATACTGTATCACTAGATGTATGGGGCTATGATAGGGACTGATGTATACTGTATCACTAGATGTATGGGGCTATGATAGGGACTGATGTATACTGTATCACTAGATGTATGGGGCTATGATAGGGACTGGCGTATACTGTATCACTAGATGTATGGGGCTATGATAGGGACTGGCGTATACTGTATCACTAGATGTATGGGGCTATGATAGGGACTGGCGTATACTGTATCACTAGATGTATGGGGCTATGATAGGGACTGGCGTATACTGTATCACTAGATGTATGGGGCTATGATAGGGACTGATGTATACTGTATCACTAGATGTATGGGGCTATGATAGGGACTGATGTATACTGTATCACTAGATGTATGGGGCTATGATAGGGACTGGCGTATACTGTATACCTTCACAATGAGGAAGACATCACCGCTGGGGTATGAGATGTTGAAGATGGCCGAGCGAGAGAGAGACGCCATTGACCGCTCCTCCACGTGGTCGTCGAGCATGTGTGTGATCTCGCTGGGATTGCAGTCCAGATGGAAAGACTCTGAGATTTTCTTCTTCTCTCTCGCGTCGTACAGAGCCATGACCGCAAATATCGGCTCAATGTTGAGGTCGAACCTGCATTCGGGGCACACAGAGAGTGTTGCATGCGTAGCTCAACTGGGGAATCACGGATTCTGTGTATTAGCAGGAACATAGGCGATTCAGTGTTCTAACTGGTCACAGGTATACAGATAGTGTACGTCAGTGCTATTGACTCAGTGCTTGCAACTGAGTGTGTTCACTCTTACTTCAGCTCATATTATCTCTCACTCCCTCTATATTGTAATCTCTTCTTTCTATCTTTCCTTTAAAATGACATGTCACTCACGCGCCGATCATTCACTCGCCGACTAAACGTCGCCTCTCCTCTTCACTCTCCCACAAACCTGAGTTCTGAGACCTTCACGTGAAGCTTGAGTCCCTGAGCCTCGGCAGGGGGCGGGACCGGGAGTCGGTTCTCCTTGGCGTCCTCCCGGTTGGGGAGGGGGTAGAGCCCAAACAGAGACGGGTGTCTGTTTTCCGAGCGACTGCGAAGGTTGTCGTGGTCCACCTCCATGTCGTCTTTCTCCTCCAGTAGCTCCAGGAGCAGTTCGTCTGACTCCGCCTGGTCCAGATTGTAATCAACACTGGATGGGAGGGGCGGGGGAGGGTGGTAGAGAGTATTATGTATGTACTGTAGGAGAGATTTAATGAGGGAAGTCCAAAAGAACTGAGTAATAAAAGAAGCTACTAAGGATAGGCAACGGGTTTTAATTGACACAAGTTGTTAATGGTGTCCTTCACAATAACAACAATAATGGGATGGAACGCGATAATGATGGGGTACAACTTGAGCAAGGAAAAGAGTAATGTAATGTAGAGTAATGAGAGTAGTAGTTAGTGAAAGGAAATCAGGTTGGAAATCAAAAGCCCCAGTCCCAAATGAGTGTACCCCCACACCTCACTACCATCTACCCAGTAACTAACTTTGAGGTGATGCTCTGGCGATATTTCTTCTTCTCTTCCTCGGGCATTGACATGTCCGACGGAGAATCGACTTCGTAGTCGTGTTTTGGGAGGAGTTTCGTGTATTCCATCGTCCGACGACACGTGGAAAATCTCCGGGAGAGAATGTTGTCGTCTTGTCCGTGAAAACTTCCATATCTGTACCAAGAGCAGGGGGGGAGGAGAGAGAGGGAGGAGAGGAGGAGAGAGAGGGAGGGGAGGAGAGAGAGGGGAAGGAGGAGAGAGAGGGAGAGGAGGAGAGAGAGGGAGGAGAGGAGAGAGAGGGGGGGAGGAGGAGAGAGAGGGAGGGGAGGAGAGAGAGAGGGAGGAGAGAGGAGAGAGAGGGAGGAGAGGAGGAGAGAGAGAGGAGAGGAGGAGAGGGAAAAATGGAGAGAGGAAACCACAACCACAACAGCAGCCATAAAACCAACACTCACCCACTGACAAAGAAGCTGTACAATGTACTATATGTACACATCAAGTGTTTCACACCATGTTTCCCTGAAAAGGGCCACTTTTGTACTTCTAAGTTATAATTATAGCTAAAGCTCTCTCACGCCTAGTAAGAGCACACATACTTGCGGTTCACGACGTTCCAGTCCTGAGTATATGAGCGGACACAGTCTCTCACCAGCGGATCATCTGTCCTCCTGCACAAGTAAAAAAAAACCCGGAGGAGAAACACTGTATGACATCATACAACGTGAATCTACATAATACACAACTAAAACCCTTCAATATGGTATCAGGCCCGTTGCAATGCCGATTCAAGTTTGGAGCACGGTAAGTTAGTGGTTGTTGTAGTTGCATCACCGACAAAGGTGCTGCTGGAAACCCTTCAATGATTATTCAAGGGAAAAAATGTACTCCTGATAATAAGATCTTACGGTCCCTGCATCCCGAACTATGCTAAATCTTCAACGTGCCAATTTTATGGTGACGCATTACAAACTCAGCACTGATTCAAGTATATACACATACATACACAGTTGTGCATCATTTTGCCACCAAGTACAGTAGTACAGTGCAGCCTGATGTATCAACTACCAGGAGGCAATTTGTGAGTAATAGCTCCCTGCTTTGCCTCCCACATCTCCCCTCCTTTCCCCCCCTACACACACATGCTTACTCTAGTAGCAGCAACTCATTCACGTGGACACACACAAGTCCATACTATGTACATTATACGTACACGAATCAAACTGAAATTATGAACTGTATACACTTCATACGTTTATAGAGACAGAACGTGGTATACATAAACCATAGATACACACACACATGAAGTAGCTTCTTATAAGAAGTAAGTACTAGTTTTTTCTCCCATCACGAAGCAATTTCCTCCCCCTATATACCATTGCTCATGTACGTACGTAGCTAGTTTTCTTATCTGCAAAACAATGAATCCATTTCTCCCCTCCACCCATCCAATTCCACCCCACTCACTTGGCGCTCCCTGGCACCGGAATCTCAACCGTCCTGAACTTGCGCGGGAGAGTAGTGACCGATACGTCGTCTTCGGGGAAGACGAGCATCTCTCTGTGCGGGTCCTCCTCCAGAATCTTGTTATTCTCCGCGACAAACTTTTCGTAGTCGATTGGATCTGCCAGCTCCATTGAGAGCTGGGATCCTATTGGTTGTAAGGGAGGCTGGGGGGAGGGGAGGAGAGGGAAAGAGAAGGGAAGTGGGGAGAAGGGTAAAGGAGGAAGAGGGGAGAAGGGGAAGAGGGGGGAGAGAGAGAAGAGTGGAACGCAGAAGACAGGGAGAGAGAGGGACAAGAGGAAGCAAAAGACAAGGGGGGAGGGGAAAGTCAGACTGAATACTGTGCTAAATGGTGCATATACCCGTTACATATAAAGCACACCTACTTATGATGAACGTGTATCCTACGTACAGACCCCTGCACAAGGCCAAGGGAGACA